ACTGTTTTCTGTTAAAAAAAAAAAAAAAAAATTACCAATAAGAAAAATTTTGTTAATGCACACTTACAATTGCCCCTTTATAGCTTATGCTCTTCCAGAAAGTTGGGTTTAAACCCCTGATATGCAGCACTGTATCTGAAACTTGAAATAATCATAATACACACACAAAACAGGCTACAGCACAATTCACTACCCTAGCCCAAGGGTGTCAAACATACAAGTGTGCAGAACATCTCTGCCTAGCCCACCAGACTACCAGCAAGCCACTGGAAACTGGAGGGTGTGGCCAGGGGATGTGGCCTACTACAGAATCCTGAGTCCTTGGGTCCTAGTAGGCACAGTGATCACCTGCAGGACAGCAAGCAAAGGGATGATACAATCCCAGTCACCCTCCAACCACTTTACCTGTTGCTACTGTTGTGGCCCTGGTTCCTTGGCTACCAACCCCACTGCTGCCCCATGCTGGAGCTGCCACCACTGCTGCCTGCCCCATGCCTAAAGCTTGAGCTGCCACTGTGGCACGAGGCACACAGAAATGGCGGCAGCTCCAGTGCTGGCATGGGACACTTGGCAGGATGTGGAGCTGCGCTGCACACCCTGTGCCAGAGCCACCACTACTTCTGTGATCCCCAGACTGGTCCAACTCTGCAAGAAACTCTGCAGTCTGGATATGGCCCAGATCACAAAGTGAGTTTGAACCCCCTGCCCTAGTCAAAAGAAACTTATCTCAGACTGCATTGATTTCCTTGGCTAAGGGATAATGAACTGGGCCAATAAATGAATTTCTCAGGCCAAGTGAAAGAAACACACCTAGTAAACAAAGAATCATAAATCGTGACAACAAAGCTAGTTTTTCAATATTCTTTGTTTTAATAACCAAAGACTTATAGATTCATAGGTATTAGGGGTTGGAAGGGACCTCTTGAGATCATCAGGTCCAGCCCCACCACCTGTGCTTGGGCAGGAAAGACTGCTAGGATCAGATGGTGAGCATCCAGACATTTGTTGAAGATATCCGAAGTAGACCATTGTACCACCTCTGGAGGGAGTCTACTCCAAACCCTGGACACTTGAGGTGTAAAGAAGTTTTTCATTATGTCTAATTTAGAGCAGTCTTCTAGCAATTTATGACCATTAGTCCTAGTCTTCCCCTGGGGAGCCCTGGTGAACAGATGTTCAGTCCCTGATATGTTCCCCTTATATACTTATACGCTGCCAACAAGTTCCCTCTGATGTTACTTATACTAAAGGAAAGGCCATTTAAAAGCAGTGCCCTTTCAAAAGTAATTGTTTAGAAGTAAATCTGACATCAACAGCAACACGACTGTTTGAATTCAACTCTGAAATGAAAGAACTAACTGATGAAGCTCTTCTACTGCTGGCTAGGTGTCAAACAACTGGCCCACAGATCCAAATCATCCAGCCTGTAGAAATCCAGGGAATTGAATTTAGGGGTGAGAAGAATGGTTAATCTTTGAAGCATAAAGGGGTGTTGCCTAGTGAATTAAAGGAACAGCTCTGTCAGAAGCATTATGCTTCTGCCCTACGTCTTACAGTAGTGCTGTCTAGGAAGAGAAGGACACACACACGCACGCACGCACTCACCCCCCTTTCCTTCACTGCATTTCTATGCATCCCAGAAGGCACAGAGGCAAGCTCTTATCTGGCTCCCATGAACTAGATCTTGGTGCACACGCACGACGCATTGCTACAATAATGTTGTTGCAGAACAGTAGAAGGATGTGTGATTCTGTTCAGCGCATGAAGATGTTCTGACAATAGAAAAGCCCTCTAGACTTACAGGATGCCAATGCAACTATTACCCAAGACCACCCTTCAATGACTTATGACAGACATAAATTCCTGCCTAAAATGAAAATTATAAAACAATGGAGTGAAAAAAAACGTGAGAAGAGTCCTCCCACAATATCCACCAAATCAAGTTGCAATCATGTGAGGCTTAAAGAGCCTTGTTTTCTGAAAAACTCTATTCTATTCCCGCTCAAGTCAACAGAAGAGAAGCAGAGGACAGAATTTAAAATTAAGGTAAATGAATCCCGAGAACTTAGAAAAATAAAAGTAATTAGCTAAACAGAAAGAAAATATCACTACTACTGCATAAGCTCTTAAGAGCCACTCCTCTGACAGCAGTAAAAAAATAGGTCAGCTCTTGAGACACAAGGGGATTCTGAGCCCACCCAGCAAGGCTGAAATGTTCCTCCCCTGTAAATGGAGAGAGGCCAACAATCCATAAAACACTCAGCTTTGGGATTTCCCAGGCTGCAGAAGACACAAGAGGGTGGGATCTATTATAACCGCTGCCCTTTTGAGACAAAAAATTATTTCCAGGAAATACTGCATGTGTCACAAGTTTGTCCACACCTGTCAAGTGAACTTTGTGCACTGTAGAGATTGAGAGTCAAAGGCAGCACACCACCCACAAAAAAAAATATTTAGAGAGGTATATATTTAAAAAAAGAACAAGTCAAGATGCAATTTTTTATATTTAAATGGGTATGAATTTTGTAAATTGACGTAGTCAGACCAACTTGTCTAAAATAAAAGGGCTGGAAGGGAAGGAAAACTATGCAACATAAGAACCTTCGGAAAACTTAACTAGCTAATACAAACTCCTTCACCTTCAATTAAAAGCAGAGCTAGTCTAATTATTTGGCTACTTTAAACTAGTATGGCCCAGCGGACAATGGATTCCCACACAGGGCATCAGAGTCCTGGGCTCTATACTTGGCTCTCCTGCTGATGCAGGCAAATCATTTCACTTTACTGAGCCTCTGCTTCCTCTCCTGCCTTTATCTGCTTTGGCCATTTAAACTGTAAATTCTTTGGATCCAAGATGTTCTCTTACTATGTGTACATATCATTTGGGGCCTCAGTTTAATATTAATAATAATTTATTTGCACTTTAATTATGCAAATACCTGTAATTTTTACAAATGAATGTACAGGGGTTATTTGTACAATTTTATAGCATGCATTCACAATTTGCTACTCGGTTTATGTAACGGGTTACTTGATTCATATGGTATTGTCTACACTCTCTGGCTGATGGTTAGAATCCCTTTGGATTCCCAAATCCACAAAAGATCAATACCAACCACAGCAAATTATTACACTTAAACATTTATTTATTTTTATGTTAAATGTGTATTCATTCAAGCAATGCTTTTGATTTTGGAAACATTTATCTTTCAAACAACAGGAATCACAAAGGCTTGCACACGCCTGACTTCAGTAGACCTAGTCCAGTTCCTAATGCAAGCATTGAAACCTTTTCTTTTCTTTGTTGTTGTTTGGGGGGGGGGTTGGTTTTTTGTTTTGTTTTTTTTACAATTCCTGGTCCAGCAGTGCTTGGAAAATAATCAAGAGTCAATATTGTAGATCAAGTCATACTCTCTATGCAGTGGTTCTCTACATGTCTGGACTCAAGGTACACCTCCATAACTTTTGGGAATTGAGTGGTACCCAATTTCAGAAGTGAATGTATAATTACTGTGCTTACTAAGGTGGTGCGAAATTTCGCCAGCAGTTTCAAGCTTGAAACAGCAAAATGGAAATGAAACAGAGAGCTTTGAAACAGCCTTGAAACGAAATGAGGCAAGTCGAAACATTTCGAAAATTTCAAAACGTTTTGAGTTTTGAAGATCAAGCAGGGCTTGCCTGCAGGGAAACAGAATCTAAAATAAGGAGAAGGAGGGGGAAGAGGGGGGAAGGAGTGCTCTTCATGGATGTGTAGCTGGCCAGTGACTGTCAATCTTTCCTGGGGTCCCTTCCAATTCCAGTGCTCTGGAGGAGGGATGGAAAAACTGCATAAAAGGCAGCATTGTTTAAACTGCCTTGCTTTCTGCCTTGGTGTGACTTACGAGCTGTGTTCCAGTTTTGCCTACCACCAGCTAGAGGTGCAGGGCCCCAGACTCCCCCCACACCTATCTCCTTGACAGCTGGCAGGCTTCATACCTGCAGCTTTAACCCTGCTGCGCCTTAACACACAGTATCACCCATGTCACAAGTTTTGCTTGTTTGCAACTTGAGGTGCAGTTTCCCCAAAAACCCCTGCACCGATCTCCTTGAAACTTGGCAGGCTTTGTGGCCTCAGCAGGGGCTAGCAAGCCTTAACTTTTGACCCCACTCTGGCTTAACACATACAGATGACATGAGTTTTGCTTTCAATACTTTGAGGTGCAGTTTCCCCCAAACCTCTACACCTATCTCCTTGCTTCCCCCCACATTCATCGACACGGGGCAAAGCAGTCCAGCCCAGGAAGGAGCCACGCTCCTGCCTCGATGACGTCACGAGGCTCCTTCTAGCCCCCTTTCCTCTGACCCTATATCCCTCCCCAATAGCAACGACCGGGTGTGACGTAACAGAACAACGCCTCGCGGTTGGGGGGGGGGCGGCTCCCCAGGGCCACCCGAGTTGGAAGGGGCACCAACGGAGTTCCGACAAGCGGCAGTCCGCGCCCGCAGACCCCGCCCCGCCGCCGCGGCTCCTACTCACGCACTGGCGCCTCCCAGGTCCCGCCCCACAACGTCCTTGCTTCCCACCGCTCCTTCGCCCTCCTCCAAAATGGCCGCCGCGCTTAAATTGTGCGCCCCAATCGAACATGTCCGCCCCCGGGGCGGCTTCCTTGCCTGATTCTAAAATGGCGGCCGGGCAACCTCTTCCACTGCCCGCCGGCTCGGCAAGCTGTGAAAACCCAGGCCCGGGCTTACTCCCGGCTTCCGGGTCATGTGACCCGGTGGAGCCAATAAGGAAGGAGAAAGGAGAGGCCTTCCCACACTGAGGGCTTGCTAGTATTCAAAATCATCGCGAGTTACTGGATTGTGACGTCACGGGCAGGGAAAGGGCATCTTAGACGCCGGCATCTGCCCCTCTGCGCTGGACAGCGGATGGTGTAGGTGACTGCAAGGATGCCTTCAGGGCCTCACCATCCCTTCCTGTGGGCGCGGCGCTTTCCGGGGTTTGGGATCAGTCTCACCTAGCCGTCTCTGCGTAGTGGGGGCGGCGCAAAGCATTTCGGGCGGCCAGACAGGCGTTTGGCTGGGACGCCTGTCACTCCCCGGAAGGTCCCTCGGTGCGGCTTCGCGCTCCTTGTCTCGCGCCGCTGCTGTTGCCCTTCCCCTCCTCCGGCGGGGGCGCGCGAGCCAAGGTGAGACTGGGGGCAGGCCGTTGGTTGCCCCGCGCGGGGGTCTGGGCGCGAGGCGCTTGACGCCTGACGCCCGTGACGTCGTGGGGGCGCCCCCTCCGGGGCAGTGTTGCCGGGTGTAGGATAATTACCGTATTTTTACGATAATAGCAGTAGTAAAAGTATTCAAAGCGTAGGCTCGTGTTCGTTGACGCAGCATGTGCAAAACCCAAGTCCCTCTCAGGGAGTTGGAACAGACTTCTGGGCTTGTTGTCAGCACGCTGCAGTGCCTTGAATTTTTTTTTTTTAAAAAGCTTCAACTTTGACTCAGTTCTCACTTATTCACTGCAGAGTTACAGTGAGCAATTAGAAGTAAAGAAGAGGACTTATTTGCATGGTTATTTGCATATTTTTCAGTATACAGTAACTTTTTCAGCAAATACGATCGTTTTGAACTTCCAATGCAATAACTGCATGTTTCAGACCTGGCAACGCTGCTCCATGGTAAGGGGTGTCTGTACCCATATGTACCTATCCATCTATCTCCTTATGTGTATCTGTCTGTATCATATAGAAAGAGAGAGTGAGCAAGAGGAAGAGCTATCTATCTATCATAGATCTATAGCTAGAGTATAAATATCTATATACATACACGTAGGTGACTGGTGCCACCTGATTTTGGGGGGGCTCCAGTGGCCAGTCACCAACTGGGGGAGTCCTCCAGCAGCCGATCACTGACTGCAAGCCCAAAAGTGCCACTGGCAGCAAACCCAGAAGTGCCACCAACACTTCTCTCAGCTCTTTAAGATTTAGCCTGACTGGAGTGATCTAGTTGGCTGTTAAAAGCCACCAACACCCTACAGCCAAGTCAGGGCACCATATGGCCACACAGGCTGGGGGTGCTGCACAAAGGCTGCTCCCAGCCAGATCCAGCCCCTGTCTGTGGGGGGGTGGTCCCTGGCTGTGGGCCTCTGTGCTGTCCCATCCTACCATCAGGGCTCCTAGAATGTGCATGTGCTTATCCTGATCCCACGGCTCCCAGGAGCATTGATGACTGGGTGGGGCAGGGTGGGAGAGCACAGAGGACCGTGGCCAGGCTCTATCCCCTGCAGGCAGAAGCTGGAGCCATGCTCTTGGAGCCATGCTCAGGACCTAGCAACTCCAGCTCTGGCCTCTGCTGGTGCCATGGGGGACACTGAGTGAAAGCAGACCTGCCCACCTGTCTGTCCAGTACCATGTAGCAACCAGAGCCAAAGTTCCCAGGACATGAGCAAAGTTTGTCCAGGGCTTGCGTATTGATTCTGCCTGGCCGATAGGCAAGCAGCGTGGGTGGTGGCTCCAGCTCCAGAGGCCCTGGGCGAGCCACTCTTGGGCCCCAGTGTTCCAGCCCCGGTCTCTGCTGGCACTGAGCAGAAGCAGCCCTGTCCGCCTGCCCGACACGGTGCAGGAGCCAGAGCCACCACTTGCCCATGGACCAGATAGAATTAACTCACCTGGGCTAGATGCCTGCAGGCTGTATTTTGCCCATACCTGGACAAGATCCTTTCCTGAGGTCCCTTCCAGCTCTCATTTTCTATGATCCTATTGTGGGGGCATGGGATGCATCGAACACAGGGGTAGGTAAAATGCTGCCCGCAGGCCGGATGCAGCCTGTCAGGCCATTCTATCCAGCCCATGGGGCCCCTAAAAAATTTAGAAAATTAATATTTATCTGCCCCTGGCTGCCTGTCATGTGGCCCTCGATGGCTTGCCAAAGCTCAGTAAGCAGCCTTCTGCCCAAAATAATTGCCCAGCCCGATATAACGTATACCTACACATACACAAACATATAGAAGTGTGTGTGTGTAAATATAGATAGGTATAAATAGATTCATCTAGGTAGTTATAGATAAATATGTAGATATGTGTATGTAACATATATCTAGATCTATGTACATCTATCTATATCCAATGTAGATGTATTAGATTTAGATATCTATATTTAATATTAAGTTTAGATATGGTAGGTGTACATCAATATTGATTAGAGGTGCACCGATATGTTGGTCTGATATTAGATCGGCACCAACATAAAGAAAATGGACTGTTTTGGAAATCGGCCTGATGTGGCCGATAATTTGGCTAATAAATGGCTGTGCGTGCATGCCACTGCAGCGCAGCATGTAGGCAGCAAGGAGTGCATCCTGGCAGCGTGGACAGCTGTGTGCAGCTGATATATCTGGTGTGGTGGAAGGGAAGCAGGGAGGGAAGGGCCATGGAGGGCAGATCAAGACTCCTGCAGTGAGGGAGGGAACGGGGTTGGGGCAAGCCCTACAAAAATTTGCTGTAGCCCCCCCTTCCCCCCCCCATAGCCCACCTCCCAGCTGTCCCAGCTGCCAGTGGAGGGTTCTGGATTGATTGAGAGTGTGGTCACGGGGTAGAAAGGTAAGAAAGGTTTTTGACTTAACAAAAACACAACTACACGTAGTAACAAGACAAACAATGACAGACAAAAATAATTCATGTCAGCAACTTATCGGCAGTCCCCTCTGATGCCTGATGTATGACAAGTTTCTCTTTCCACAAAGCTCAGCAAAGCCAGGTATCCCTGATGAGTGCTGTCCGAGAGGTACCAGGAAGGACCCTGGTATTCAGTCCTTGGGCTCTTCAAGATCCATGGGCCCACTGATCCAGGTCAACATCTAATTAATCCTTTCTGCAGAGCTGTATCGTCCTTCTGAATGATTTCCAGATGTTTCAGCCAATTTATAACTT